GGCCACCGGTCGAAGGACAGCTTTGAGTCTTGTCAGCACTGCGGCGGAGCTCGCCAAAGAGGGCCGGGAGGGCAAAGCTGGGATGTGTGTCGACAAGGAGGACTACAAGTCATTGAGCATTTTGCTGCAGTGGCTAAGGAGATGGCGACGAGGTGATTTCGGCCGAGATTTACCAGATCGAAAGGCGGGAGGTCGAGGTGACGATCGGACCCACCCGGTGTGGTTTTGGGGCGAAGAGTTGTGGCTGGAAGCCATTGAAGAGTGCGATGGAACCTTCGGGGGTAGTGATGAAAGGAGGTGCGGAGGTCGACGAAAGAAGGAGCTCAAGCCCATCGAGGAGAATGGTGCGAAGTTCATCGACCTCAACCCGGACTTCAACCCCGACATGGAGATCCAGGCACAAGTGGAAGAATGGCTCGAAGCTCACCTGGTGGGAGACAAGGCAGCGAGCACGCAGAAGGCCTATGCGACGGCCTGGGGGAAGTGGTGCGATTGGAGCCGACGCCAAGGGTGGTTGACGCCCTACCTCGACCACAAGGGTGACCCGATCCACAACGAGAACAAGGTCCTGGGTTACCTGGGGTATTTGGGCTGGCTGGGCACCTCGGTAGCTACCATGAAGCAGGCGGTCTTTGCCATCAAGGATGCGCATAAACGAGCTGGGCATGGTGACACTACAGTCAAGATGCACCGGCTGTGGATCGTGCTCAACTCCCTGGAGAAGAACTCAGTGAAGAGGCCACGACGGCTAGGGGTCACTGTACAGATGTTGAAGTGGCTCGGCAAGCAGATGGCGTCTGGAGCCGAGACGGTGGGAGAGCTCAAGGTTGACTGCCGGATGGTGCATGCGGCGGTGGTCACGGCATGGTTCTTCATGCTTCGAGCTCGGGAGTTCTCCGACTCCAGCGGGGTGGACCAGGAAATGATCGCGAGGGGCCAGGACATTTCGCTCACGACCCGTGGTCGCCCGGACGAGAACGACCCCCAGGAGGCGACCTTGCAGTTTCGAAAGACGAAGGCAGACCAAGAAGCCTTTGGGACGTGCAAGACCATGCTGAAGACGGAGGTCGAGTTTGTTTGCGTGGTCACCGCCCTTCACCGGCTTCGAGAGGTGGCACCAAGAGGATTTGGACGAGGACCCGAAAGCCATATGCCTTTGTTCCGATGGGCATCAGGCCCTGTCATCAAGCGGCTGGAGGTGCAGAATTTGCTGCAGAGGGCTGCGAGGGCGCTGGGCTTGCCGGCAGAGCGGTTCCAATCCCATTCTTTGAGGATTGGAGGGGCCTCGGCGCTCTACCAGGCGACTGGGGAGATAGAAGTGGTCAAGAGGACCGGAAGATGGACGTCCTCGGCAGTGCAGCGCTACCTCCATGACTCAGGCGATGTCCTGTCGGGTTTGGCACGAAAGATGGCCAATGTGGACCAGCACGTGCACTACACGTAGATGAACGAAGCTGGCACACTGCCGGATGCAGTGAAGTGGGGTGGTGGCTGGTTGCCATAGGCGACGAAGGATCGCTGGGCATGACATGCCACCAACTTCAGTGCGATGCGGCAAAACGTGAGCCGGCAGCTATGCACTAAGTATTTATTAATATATATATATACTGTATATATACATATTTATATATTCTTATTTTTTAAAGAAGATCTTCTCTGTCCTTGAGCCGCGCAGGTCTCCAAGGCTTTGGTGCATCTCCATCGACACCGTGTCATGCATCGAGACCTCAAAGCGGGGAATGTGTTCTTGTGCCTCGGCGGAAAAGAACACACGGAAAAAACAAACACATCCACCAAGGTTATATATGTATATATTTGTTTTAAACATGTTTTCCTTTGGTATCGTTGTTGTTATAGGGTTCTTTTTCTTGTAGCGTTGCTTTCTTTCTTTTCAAGTTCTGGAATGCGCTTGGATTCATTTTGCTTTTGAGAAGCTACACTTTGCCACGCATTTGATCGAGTTGCAGGTGTAGCTCTGGCGAGGCGAGGACGGTGGATCGCCGCAATTGGGCAGCCCAGATGCCACGGATGTAGACTCATCGTCTATGGATGTCCTTTTGGACTGGTCTGGATAGTCTATATATGGTTGAATAGAGGGAATCGACCCCAAACAACCCATATTGCTTGCTTGGGTGCTGAATCGACGTCCCTGGTCACCAGGAGCTCGATTTGCCACGTGCCATCGCCAAGTTGGGAGACTTCGGTGTGGCCAAGGCGAAGTGGCGAAAGCCTCCGAAAATCTCCGAAAGCTTCGGAGACTTCCGGCTGCTTGATTTTTAGTAGCACGGACGCTATGCTCGGTGGAGGCCATCGCAAAGAGGTTGGAGGCCATCGCCGATCGCTAGGACCATAACAAGAAGCTACGACCGGAACTGGATCTGTGATCGTTTTGCCCCTTTTTCGCGGTCTTCGGACCGACCAAACGTTGATGCTCCACGGTCGATGCTCCACACCGAGACGTGCGGTCTTTCAGGTGTGCAGCCGAGCGCAGACTCCAGCTGCTGACCCAGAGTGAAATGAACGAGTTCGAATCGAGTCAACAAGTTGAAAACGTCAAGAGTTCATGATCCGATCTTAAAGGATGAAAGGATTTGAAAGGTGCTTTGGCAAAGTTTTAAGACAGTGAAGCAACTTTCCCTGTTTGTTCTTTTTTGGATTGGCAGGTTCAGACGCCGCACTTCATGGCGCCCGAAGTGGCCAAGCAAAGTGCGGGACCCGGCAGACCTTGGTGTTTTCTTTCTATATGGGTCCTGGGTGAGTGGTCTTTTCCCCTCAAAAAAACCAGAGGGTGATGAATCACCGGTGAATCCATCCGTTTTTTTTGTTATTTCGCTGGGTGAAGGACACCATGCACGTAGAGGAGACGTGCGACCGGTGTGACTCTTCGACGTGGACCACGGGTCTTCGCTGCGGCTTGCTTCGGCTTCCAAGGCGAGTATGGTCCTGCTGCAGATATTTGGGCCTTTGGTTGCTTGATGCTGCAAATGATGCAGCTCAGCCTACCTCATGGTGAGGACTTCGGGAAAGGATGATGTCAACAGCAAACATCCAGCTTCCTTTCCGAAATGACATGTTGAATTCGGAGGCGTATATTCTTTTAACGCACACAATGGAATCAATTCAGGATTCCTTCACACCTTTTAATATTGTGCATTTTTGTGCTAAAGCAGATTATTTATATACCTTGGTTACACAGTTCTCTACCAATGAAATCGTATACTATTGATTCTTTAGCCCATGGGCTAAGTTCCATTGTTTGAAGCTATTGTTACATCGGCTGTCCAGTTATTGATACTTAGATAGTCTTTTGTTTCCTGTGCATTGATGGATATTGATGGTAAATACCTCATTCGCTTCAACCCCAGCTCAGCACGGTGTCTCTCAACTCGAAGGACCTGACGTTGCCTCAGCTCGAAGAGGCAGACCGGAAGGGAAGACCAGCAGGTTCGGGTTGACCATGCAGGGTCCGAAAATATGATTATTGGTCCATCAATATAGAATATCTAGGGTAACTAGGAGACAGGGTAAGAATGGATCATGGCTGCCCCCAAAATCCATTGGCCAGATGCGCAAATCGGATCCTTATGATGTGAACACATACAAGTCACGCAGATACAATCATGGCTTGTTAGTTTGTGAGAACATTTTCAGTCATATACAGGAATTGTTCGTTTGTTCGTCAATAACGTCCATTCCACGCCTTTGACAAGGACCAGATGTGAATCGCTTAGCTGACAAGGCCTTGCTGGCTGGCACCCTCCAGCTCTCACAGCGTGAAGAAGCTTTGGAGCGCAGCCCAAGAGTGGTCCGCAGACCCAAGCTGGATCGGACGCCGAAATACGCGAGGTTTGATCGGGACATCCACGCCATGGGTGAAGGAACACAAGTACAAAGAGACGATCCAAAAACATGTTTTTTTCTTGGCAGTTTCGTTTCGCAACATATACTGACTCCCTTGTCAGAAATCATGGTTACGTGGACTATGGTCTGAATTTTGGATGACCATTTTCCTGGTTCCTCTACAACTGAAATGGTGGTTTTTCATGTTTTTTCCACTTCGATGATTTCAGGTGGCAGCAATGGATCGGTGCCTTCAGAAGGCTGGGGCTACTCTGAACCGCTCGCTTCGGAGTATGCCTTTCTTGCATCTATGGAAGAATATACACAAATTCATTAGAAGAACACTCGTTGGGAGCTAAAGATGTGGGACACTCCTCTCGTTCGCAAGAGCTCGACGGAGGATCCGATGGCTCGACCTACAGCAGAGGAGCTGTCGCAGGAGCTGGACGACGCCGTAAGCGCAACATGTTAGCCGTTTTAAGAATGGGCCGGAAATAGCTGGATAGCTGGGCTTGTTTCCGAGAGCTTCCAATTCGCCTGAAGAGGGCGCAAAGTTTTGAAGCACGTGAAACGTGCTGACTCATGCTGCCAAGCAGCAACAGATTAATGCCAACTTTTCAAGTCCAGTGAAGCTGGAGTCCGAAAGGTTTGTTAGTGACCACACTGCGAAGTACATAGCTGCAATGAGGCACATCACAGCACAGGAACATATTTGCATATTTATTTGCTCCTTAAATTCATTCGGTCGTTCCTTTTTTAACAGGTCATGATGCGTCATTGCAACTGTCTACTCTCAGTTTTTGCAACCTTCCAGAACGTACATCTGGCGGACGGCACCCAAAAATACCCTGCAGTGTCCTGGAACCAGGCAAGATGCCGAAGAACACCGAACGGATCCTGCTTGGATCATTGGACGAACGGAATCCGATGTGATCACCGATGGAAGCAGTTGCGAATAGATTTTGTGAGGGGCAACTGGGCCACCGACCTTTTTTTTCGAGACATCTCCCGGTCTTTGAGTGTCTCTTTTGGAGACATCTCCCTCCAGATGTGGTTTTTGGGGAGGCACTCCGTCACCACGTTCTGAATTTGACCCGACGCCCGCCTTTTCCGTGGGGTTTTCCGACCGTGGTCTTTCGACTGTGGCGCGCGGGAAGAAGGCGATGTTTCCGGGCAAGAATCACATCGACATGGTCTGGGAGGCTCAGAATATTCCCACCCGGCGACCGCCTCGCGTGACGGTCGTGGCGTGCCCGTCAGCCGGGAGACGACGAGAGTCGTCGTCTCATCATCTCGGTGACGAGAGCCGCAGCCAGCCGAGGTGACGAGGTGGTGGAGGTGTCCCATGACAAAGCAAAGCCTGAGCATCATCCACGGATCATTCGGTGTGTTTCATCAACCCAACGGACCCAACGTCGCAGCAGACTGAGCGCAGACCGAGACGCAGACCGTTCGCTCCGGGGACGGGTCTCTTCGGAACGGGACCAAACGCAGCAAAGCCGTCGCTTGGGGGTTGAGAGTTCCCGATGGCGGACGGCACGGGACCCACGGTGAAGGGCCTGTCGAAGTATGCATTGCTTGTCTTTATTTTGCCCATTCGTGGGAAGGGATGTGCAGCTTTTCACCACGCATGTTGGTTTGTCAAAGGGTCGTTGAAAACAGGAGCAACTCCAAAGAACTGGCTGACATCTCGTCCATCCGCTCACATGGCAACTCCCGCTGTCGTCCCAGCACCGGATCCGGCGGCCTTTTCCAGTTTCACCGGTGACGCGTTGTCCAAGGTTTGCATGGTGGCCAAGGTCCTTGGAAATCCCACAGACTCTGAACTGAATTGGCTTCCCAAGGCGCGTCCGCAGCAGTGTGAAGGAACGGACGAAGGAAGGGGATGAAGATGGTCCAAGCGAACGAAAAGAGTGCCAGAATTGTTCTGAAAGGCTAAAACAGACAGACTCCCAACTTCAGGGATTTTCCGAAATGATCGGTTCCTCTTCAGTTTGGGGGTTGACATGTGCCCTTCCTCCAGTCGATGGTTTGACCACAAACTCCTGGCAGATCGACCACGGCCGCGAGGTCGAGGATCTGCAAGAGAGACCGTGAGTGACCGGCGAAGACCAAACGGACTCATGCCCCCCCCCGGTGACATGGTCTCTTCCAATCCGTGAGAGGCACAGAGCAAGAGTCGAATCCACAATCGTCGCAAGAGACCTCAACAAATGGTCATTTGGTGTCCCTCTAGACTCTAGACACTCAAGTGTTGGACCTCTCGTTCACCGGCCTCGTCAGGATACCGATGCCTACAAATTCCTCCGGAAGGCCGGCTCCGCGGTCAGCCTGGTCAGCCTGGTCAGCCTGGTCTTGGCGCCAACCCGCTCGGGCGCGTTTGGGACCAAAACCCGCTGGCGAGATCCTTCCTGCCAGGTGTGTCCTCAAGGTTCTGGCGTGAACTTAAGTCCGCTCCTTAAGTTCGGTCGCAGAGCCTGCAAGCGAGAAGATGTGCGGCTTGCAGCATGTCAAGGTGTTCTTGGAAGCAATCAACAAATAGGTATTTTGAGAGAGAGAGAGAGCACATAGAGGTACAGGAAGTCTAATGAATTAGCACGAGACTTTAAAGAACCCTTTTAAGGTCTGTTAACACTGTGTTGTGTGACTTCCGCATCTGTTGGAATCAGGAAGGTCTATACCAGATGCCACCAATCTGTTTCACTTTTTGTTGCATCGTCTGATAGGTTCCACCTATCCCCGGGCATCGTCAGCATGCTTGGACCTCCTCAAAGCCTTGCTGTGCCAGCAGCTTACGACACATTCGGCAGGATTTGCTTCAAGCTAGCGCTTGTTGATTTGGGAAGAGAGTGGAATTTGTGCTCCCCGAATTCAATGCCAGACGGTCGGAAGTTGCGTTCCGACTCCAAACAGGGTTGGACCGTTGGGCGATCGAAGGAAGTGCGCGGCAAAGCATCTACTGGATGGCCGTGATGGTCTGACACGGTATGACGTCGGATTTGGACGATCTGAGGATACTTCTTAGGTGCTTTAGGACGTGTCCAGCCCCTTGGGACTCGAGACATCTCGAGTCAAGACATCTCGATGCTCAAAATGGTGGTATCTATACGCCAAAGACCCCAAAAGACCCCCAAATGCGCTCCAATCCTTGAAAACCGTGTTGGGGGCCAAACTTGAAAAGACCCCAATCCTTGAAAACAATGATTGGAGCAAGTTCAGGGGCATAGGGGCTGTCCCGCTCATCCTTCCCATGAAACCGTGGAAACTCGTGCGAGGCTGGGATCCCCAGGAAAGGCTCACAGCGTCTGACGCGCAGAAACACGAGTGCGCCGGAATTCATCAGCCCAAGACGCGACAGTGCGGAGACGATGTGGGGAGCAGGGTGTGGGTGTGCGTGTGTGTGTTTTTCAGAAGTCGTCCCTGAGATTGGGGAAGAAGTCTCGAATTGATGGACCTAGTTGCCAATAATGTCTCCTGGCGCCTGTGGCTGATATGTGAAAACCTGCTATAGTGGAATTCTTCAATGTGTTTTCACATATGAGCCATTAGGCGCCAGAAGACGTTCATGCCAATGATGTTACCATGGTTGGTGGGGGGTTCGCGGTGAATGGGGGGGCAATCTTCGTCACGGTCATCAGTCTGCGCCGCCGATGGCGGCTCGAACACTTTCAAGAACCCCACAAAGAGCCCCGCTGTGGTGGAGCAATGCACGCTGCTGGCTGTGCGGAGCCACTTGGAGGAGCTGTATACATCTCCGATTCTCATCGACTTGTGCCTTGCACGGAGAGGTATTAAGTATAGAGACATGTGATTACTTTGACTTTCATGCAACGTCGTGTGTATCAATGGCTGTGGAGGAAAGACCTCAGAGCCGCTGGCGATGTCACAGGACAAGAGTTCCTGGTGCACATGGCGAGCGAAGGCCTGTCGCTGGAAGTGAAAGGAGCGAATCGGGGCGGCACATCGGAAACTAGTGTCGAGCTTGACGACCCCATTCGTACATTTTCAGTCAGCCTCTCATCTCCCCACCCACAGGCTCCTCCCTGCCTCGCAACTGGGTAGTCAATAGTCACCAGGTTTTTGCTTCTCGAGATAGATAGCTGCAAGCTACTGCGGTTCTGACTCCTCTTTTAGTCCAGACCAGGTCATCAAACGTGCAAGGTCTGGAACACTTCGCAGCTTTACGACGCTTTGATCGCGTTGCTTCAAGCCAAAGCTTGCAACTCTGGAGCCTTTTGGAACTTGGAACCCTCTGGAATCGTCGTCTGGAATCCTCTGGAATCCTCGAGCTGACGGCTTGGGGTTGGATTGCAAGTTGTTGCCTGCACAGTGGAGCCCTGAAGCCTGGAACTCTGGAATGATACGCACAATATAATCTCTCATCTCATCAAAAATTCATATATAACATATACCATATATATATATATTATATTTCTAAGTGTCCATTGAAATAATATATACTTTGAAGGCAACTTTCTACCTAGAGCCCGGCTGAACCCTGTGACTCTGAAGCCTGGCTGGCGCGGTGGAGCCATTACATTGCAGAAAATAGATTTTGCCCTACTTCCTTTGCATTCGGATCTGGCTGGCAGCTACTTGTACAGGTATATTATACTATATATACATGGCCCGAAATTTTAACCCTCGTCCAAGGTTTTCAACTCCTGTATATCGTCAAAGGACCTGGATAGGCTACGTCTTGGGCACAGCAGGATTTCTCATTGACAGATCTCTTTTCCTGACATGGAGCTCTGTTTCTGGTCCTAGTGCATATAGCGCCAGTCCACCGAGTCAGAACATTACGTGGCCCAAAGAAAAAGGAACGAACAACCTTCAGACCTCATGATCAACAAACAACAGCAAGAACCACTCATAAGGAACCACTCATACTCTGTATGGGATACCAGACCGATCCAGACCGTATACGAAGACCTTGGATGGTTGGATGAGGAGTGTGTCTTCCGGTTCAGACCTATCTGGTATACCTGGCGTCCGCATATACCCATGGTCCCCGGCATCGGCCGAGTCGGTGCCGGTGTCGGCCGCTGAGTGGAAACGGCTTCAGCCGCGCCGAACTCGGTGAGGTACGTGAAGCACTACTATCCTCGTGAACCACCTCCTCCACCTGAGCCTTTTGACTGGACTGACCACCCCGAGTGGGATAATGGATGCAGTACATATGGCTTGCATTTTTCTATTATGATTTCAAGTGAAGATTCCATTCGTGCCATTGGTCCATTTGGGTTCGCAATCCACGATACACAAGAGACTTGAATGATCTTGGCAGCGTTGCTGCACCGAAAACTTCAGGACCTTCGACGGCTTCAAACCAACGACCAAGACCGTGCAGGCCGGAATCATGCAGTCTGTTGTTGCGAGAGAACGAAAAGCCACCTGTGCAAGTGTTATTTATAAAGCCTAGAAGTCAAAAGACCATCTCTTGCCTGAAGTAAAGGGACTATTCTTGCCTTAAATGCATTAAAGGACTATTCTTTTTATAGTGCTTGACTGCAAGTGATAAAGAGTCAGTGCCGCAGGCGAAGCTATATGAAGAGCACCTTGCCTTGACACAGCCGCAAAAGAGACGTTTCGTGACGATTGGTGATGCGTTTTGTGAGACTTTTGTCGGACATGAAATGGTCTAGTGAGACACATCAAAGAACTCTGACCAAAGCGTCAAACGCCGCGAGCCGGTCGCGGTCTCACCGAGTCTGACCGGAGACGGGTCTGAGCGACGGAGGCTCCGGACCGTCCGAGGTGCGCGCGCTACCACCCGGAAATCCGAGCACGAGATGGCCTCTCTCCAAGCGGAGCCCCCGCAGGCGGTGGTCACTTTCGCTGAGGGTTTGGATATCGGTCGTGATTAGTAGAAGCTGGTGGAAGTGCCATAGGGGGTGCAGACTTCTGGGAATAGGGGTACGGGAGTGGCGATGGAAATGAGTGAGTGGTGGTCACAAGGATCCAGTTGTCACAGAGGGTGATAGAGAGACTTCAAGCACAATTTCCAACACAGACTTCTACTGAATTTCTATGGTCACCTTATTTTTTTAAAGATTTGATTTGGGGGTTGTTTTGGGATTCCACATTCTAAGATACTGCACATTCTACATATGATTATACAGAGAGAGAGAGGCAAAACAACATGCTTCTCATGGAAGAACCTCCGAAGTTGGGTCTCCACCGGCAACTCATGTTTTGTTCACTATAGTAGCTTCTTGCTACTAGTAGTAAGGCCAGGAGCTACGTTCGTAGCGTCCTTGCTATACTAGTAGCGATGTGCTTTGTTCCTAAAAGCTTCTTGTTACTAGTAATCTTTTGTTCACTGACTCTTCCGACTCTTTTTGCGAACTCCCGCCGTCGACCGAGAAGGCCCTCTCGGTCGGGGGTGTTCGGCAGGTGGCTATCCGATGAAATCCGAGGCGCCAAAAAAGAGTCACCGGTCCCCGCTTTGGGGGGCAGCGTGTTAGTGATGAGGGGGAAGCAAGGGGATCATGTGACCATGGAAGGCCGGGATGATTTTTCCTCATTTTTTAAGTGCTTCCCGATCAATCGCAGCTTCCAGGCTTGTACTGGAGCATTTGGTCGGCTTCTTGAGATGACATGTGGTTCTTCAACCGGTGAAACCCACTGGTTTTGCCACCGGTTCTGGCCAACGGGTCCGTTTTGTTTGCACCGAGCACAGCGCCAGGCTCGCCCAGATCGTTCCCCCAGGCAGGTCGGTGACCATGCGTGGCATGCAGTCACGCAACGGATGGACCAAACGGAAAGACAGACAAGCTCACTCCGAGTCATGGGCCCCAATCCGTCGTTGTACAAGTCTAAATCGTAATTGAGGTGGTCCTCGTTTTGAGAGACTTCGAGAATTTTCATGCCATGCTGCTTCGAGTTTGCAATGGAATTAGTTCGAAAGCAGATGTGTCCATCCCTTTCCTTTGGCCGAGGCATTCTCAGAGAGACGTCCTCTCCCCAGACCTTTCCCCGAGATTGCGCTTTTGCTTCGCAGACGCGACGCGCACCGCCCAAGCGCTGTCACGTCGACCGGAACGAGGCGACCCCGACGAAGAGCAAATCTGAACGCTCAATCACACCGGCCAGGGTCTCAAAGCTGAGCATGAAGGTCCTTGATCAGTTTCGTGTCTTTCAAGGCCATGCTGACCCAGAAACATGTCAAAACAACCAGCTTTACTTTCTTGGGACCCAAAGCCCGTCTGTCAAGGACTTGGAGTTGGAGGGGCTCTGGAGTTGTCAATGCGTAATTTGTAGTTTTCAGAGGGTTTAATTCGACTGACGCTGGCCCTTCGATATGCTTTTGGCCTGAAAGTCCTTGTGGACTAGTAGCTAGAGATTGTTAAACAACTGGCTTCCACACAATCATCACCCATGGCTTACTCAACGCCCCCTGGTGCAATGGGTTCCGGTTTGCTATGGTTCCCTTGTTCTTCCAATGGAAGACAGTGCACCTGGATCACCAAGGTGCCGGGTGCCCTCAACGGTCTCGCTCGTGCAGGGAGCCCCGTGCTCTTTCTGGCTTCGTTTTGCTTCTCCCGAGCGAAGATATTATATGTATATTACTAGATATTACATAATCATTTTTTTGTTTGAATCATTACTATTCTTTTTTTCTTAGTAAAGTAAAGATAAGTAAAGATGCGATAGCCATCGAAGCGACAGCACTGGTGCGTTGCTCCGTGTGAGCAAAACGATTTCGGAGTGGCGTCCGAGGGACACACGGTCGGTCGCACATGGAGACACGGTCGCTGGATATGCGGGATTGACATGGGGAGGTTAGAAGTTCCACTCAAATCCAGGAAGATCTCATAGTCTTTCAGCGAAACCAGTCTAAAATTGCAACAGAACAAATTGCAAAAACACCAAAGACACCTGTTGCCAGTCTACCACTATGTACTTCTTGAACACTGGACCCCAGAATTCATCCTCATCAATCCGATTACCTAACAAAGTGTCTGAGAATCCAAGGTTTGGAGGAGAGTAGAACCCCCAAACAATCTTAGTCACTTCGTCACTCGCGTGCGTCACTCGCGAACCTGTGTCACTTGGGCATCGCTTTAAGCCATGCGGGTTTCACCTTGGGTCACAACGACACGCAGCGAGACCAAGCGAGACCATCGCAAATTGGATGAGGTGTGCAGTAATTAAGAGGGAGACCAGAGATAATCATAGAACATCGATCAACAAAAACCACCACAGAGCCGCTCCCCATTCCCCATCCCATCTCCGAGGCTCCGGATCGCTCCGCCAGGCGGCCATGCGCTTCCGCTCGACCACGCCACCGCCGAACACGGGGACGCCCCGGAGCGAGCGGCGCACCTCGCAGCCGGGCGTGCCCGATGTGCGGAGCCGCTGAGGAGAGGGTGAGGATGCTGCGGGTTGTGGATGGTGGGAGAGGTGGATGACTTGGGGAGAGGGAACATGGCAACATGACTTGGGGAGATGGTCGTCGAGTGCCGGGGTCGGGGGGTTCGCTGATGTGGCCAGGAAGGAGATCCCAGTCGATGGGTTTCCAGATGGGGCACCAGGAGATGGGAACTTCATGGTGAAAGCTGAAAGAAGATGAAGGAATGGAGAGCATTGAGTATTTCAGAAGTGAAAGCTAGCTTTGCTGCCTCTTTCATCCCTTTTGACCTCTTCGTGCCAATTCCGGGACAACAGCTCCCATGCAAGGATGTGACGAAGGACAACACAACAATTGAGGCGTGCGACAGTCTTCCATTTTCTCAGTGAAAATCTGTAGCATGCTTGGATTGCTAGTTGGTGGAGTAATCTCCAGCGTGACGGGCCATATGCGAAGCACATGTGCCCAGCGCCCTGCTAGTTGTTAGGTCACGGGCTACTACTTCCATGCTTCTTCCACTTTTAAATCCAGATCTTCCGACCATTCATGCTGCATGGGCACGGGCCCACACGTTCAAAGCATTCGTCATGGCGGGAAGCCTGTAGCGTGTGACCTGCGCGAGCAGAATGGACCAGTCTAGAAAAATGGTCCGTTGGGGTTGCATTTCCTGAGTAGATTTGCCGTTAAGTCTATTTGGGCATCCTTATTGTGGGCATTGCTCTCCGATTTTGAAGGCTGAATACAAGAAACCCTCTCTTGGACCTTCTGAACAAGAAAGCACGCGAATCGCTTAAGTGTGGTGTGCTAACTTTGGATCCTACGACACTTTTCTGAACAAGAAAGATCAGATGCAAAGGCATGAGTGTCCCATCAGAAGCTGCAGCAGCTTTTGGCTCTAGCTTGCAGCCCCGCCGCTAGCCGCTAGCCGCACTGGCTTCAAGCAGCATCTCGACGTGGAATTCCACTACTCAAGAGAACCTGACCTGACAAATTTTTCCCAGTTCCCGTTTTTTTCATCTTGAGGCCACATCCATTTTACCTTTTATCAGTGGATTGGGATGGATTGGGGTAAAACTCTAGCAAACTCCTGCTCCCAACGAGAGTCAGCGCATCCCGTCCTTCCTCCGTCGTCATTCATCGTCAGTCACTCCGATCCCGACCCGATGGTCAACGGGACGGGGCCCCGACGTGTCTCGACGACCTTCTTCATCCCGGATTCCCTGAGACGCACGACGAGGGAGAGGAAGCCTGGGGACTTGTTTGAGCATTCTGCTTGGTCCAGACCAGGTGCATCTCTAGCAACAGTCCGCCTGAGAGAGTATCCACAGAGGCGGGGAGAGACTGGAGAGCGGAGAAACTCTGTCATCGTTGGTGGTTTGGTGTTTGGTCGTAATGAGGACACCGCGGAAGATTGATGGGAAAAGGACAAGGACCTCAGGTTTCGGCGGGTCTTCTTGACAGGTTTTGGATGGTTTTGGCAGGAAATGCTGACAGAAATGCTCAGGAAGGGCGTCCTCAATTGCTCTGGCATCGTGTATATCAACGATGTTTCAGTGTCCATGAACACCGGTTGGACCATTTTGGCATGCTCTGCAGCATGCTTTGGCCCTGTGTGCTGTGTGCTGCCGCGTTCGGGTGTGCAGCAAGTCCTTCCCAGCTCACCAACTATGCATTCTTTCGTGACCTGTCCGATTGTGCAGGCATGTAGCAAACAAGAGTGTCCAGTCTCATAAACAGCAACCCATTGCAATAGCAGTTATAGTTATAGTGCTTTTCCATGCTTTTCGTGTTTCTGGCATAGCAATGGATCACTGACATGGAGAAGCTGCTTCATGCTCTCGCGGAGTTGCTTGGCATCTACCAAAACTCATAGAGTTGTTCTACAAAACTCACATCTAGAGGAAGAATCCATTTTTGCAACTTCCACCCTTTTCCTATAGGTTTAGGGAAAGAACGACAGTCCCCAAAGGAGCCGTTCGGGCCGTTCGGGTTGCTGGTGAGCACTTGCTTCTGAAGCTGGGTGAGCACTTTCACCTGCTTCCTGAGGAAACTTCCTGCAAATGCAGGACGCTCCACTGTGGAGGCTTTGGGAGTTCACAGTTCTGGTGCCATGACATCCAGTCCAACGGGTCAACGAGTCAATCTGGAAGTGAGGAACTCCACCTCCCCCCACCAATCCATGGTGGGTGTCACATCCCTTATAGGAATCTGTTCATTTTCGGGGTCCAAAGCGGTTTTGCCCCACAATCCATGCCTGAGTCATGTACTGTTGCAGTTGGCCTTTCGCTCTGCTGTGGATGCCTTGCCCAAGGCGCGCCAGATGGGAACCGTGCAGATGGGACAGGATGGGAGAAAACAGCCACCGGTTCACTGTGATTTATTGGATTTAGCATGATTTAGCAGACTTGTTCATGGATTCAACGGGTTAGAACTATAGTATGTATAGGTCACCATCCAGATCAGAGATCCAAATCATTGATCAGTCACATTCAGCCATCTACCAGAGAGTTGTTGGTTCTTCCAGACCTATTCCAGACCTATGACTTCCAGAGACTGACTAGAGAATTTTAGTGAGACCTACTTCCATCCACGAGAGCTGCTTCCATCCATCCAGAGAGTTCCTGACCTCCGCCAGTCGAAGATTCGAGATGAGCTGCTCTTGAAGCAGGCCACGCCCCGATTCCGCCCCGATTCCGCGAACCGGTCTCGGCTCTTAGACGCGTCCGCGTTCCGGTTGGGAAAAAAATGTCAACCATCGGTCACCGGGAAATTGGAAGGTGTCATGAAGAAACCTCTGCGCCCTTTTTTAAATGACGCGTGAGGTGCCACTCTTTGTTGGGTACATCGAGATATTATGTAATGATATGACAGTGGTACAACAATGTAGACCAGGTTTTTGAAACCATCTTCAGTGGCCGAACCGTCCGTGTCGCACTGTTCCACCGGTCGACTCGTCGATTCGCAGCGACTGAGACTCGTCTGATTGGGCGACTTCGATCGCTGGTCCGATCCAAAGTGGAAGAAAGCAAGCCAGGAGAGGACCAGCACTAGTGCTTGATGTGAGCGAAGCTCGTGCTTGTTGAGCCGTTTTTGTGGAGGAAATGTATGACATGGACTGAAAGTGAGCTCGTGCTTTATTAGACTGTGACGCCTGAGCTACGATCCAACCCCCCCAGCTGGATCTCTTGAGTAGGGTTTGCAATCATCCTGTATGTCAGGATTTAGTATCATTGATGGTGTTGCTTTGCTCGTCTCGACAGTCAGTGCCGGATCGGATCGGCAGGAGAAGTAGCTGAAGAGCCACAGGAGCTTCCTGAAGGAGATGCCCCAGGTGGGCTGGGTGGGTCAAACTGGCGGGCGCAACAAGCGCGTCACACCAATGTCTCGGGAGACCGAGACCAGACAACGACCCACTGGAAGGTTCGGGAAATCGACCAGTCTACCCATGAAAATACACACCCATGTACGTCCAATTTCCCGGGTCTTGCGGTAGAGCATCGCTGCGCAACCGCAGAGCATCGCAGGCGGGGTTTGAGAGTGCAGTTGTTGTTTTAAAGTCTTGGTGTTGGTTTGCTACTGTTGATGCACTGGGCAGCTCGAGTGCAGCCAGCTTGTGTTTCTTCTCAAGCCAACTAGCATGTTCTTTTTCCTTGTCAATCAGTTTGATCATCTGAGAATTGGAGCCTGATAGTGTCTTCCTAGTGCCAGGCGATCCTGCAGCATGCTTCCAAGGCGGTCCGCTGTGCTGTCTGTTTCCACACGAGTCAGTTCATCGTTGGCTCACGGCAGCGGTCGCGACCAGAGCCCGCATGGATCTGGCAGGTGTTGATATCAATAAGCCGGGAGATTGCATCAAGCATTGCCAAAGTCTCCTGCAAGATGCCCTGGCTTGGAGCTGAGGTGTTTCAACAGCCAAGCTAAGCAGTGCTGAAACACCTGAAGATGAGAGATGAGAGATGATGACGTCGTTAAAGTACAAATTGCATACCAACGGGCTGGAAGCATTTGAACCAAAGTTCACTTGCTGTTGAAAGATATCACTCAGCCAGAACAGAACTCAGTGATTTTTTGTCTCCGTCGCAGGTCAGCCTTGATCCTGCAGCTCGGAGTGAAGAGGCAGGTCCCGTGTTCGATTGAGCATCGGTCCAGGAGTCTGAAACAGACCATGATAGTTCCGGTCCTCAAATGGGTAGCAACAAGCTCCAGGACACTTGTTGATGGAGTTTGCCTGAGCCTACATATCTATTTTGGTTTCACTACCATACATTTTTAGCATATTACAATTATAATATTGTGAGCATAATTATAGGGAGCCAGCCTTGTAGACCTTTTCCATCAACTCCGTGCCGCTCGTCGCTTGTCCAAAGGCCCTTGCTGCTTTGGTGGCACTCTTCCCGCCGGAGAGTGGACCATGGAGGTTCACGTCAGCTGGGTCGGGTCTGGTGGAGCTTACTGACCAGTCCATCAGGCTGGAGTCTGGCGACCTCGAAGCTCTTGTCCGATTCCCAGCGGGAGAAAGTGTGCGTTGACGCCGCGTCCGCCAACGCCATGCCCTTCCGCCCGCTGCGCGAAAAAGGTGCAGATGCTGCCTTGCGCGGCGACGGCGTTGGGTACGCAGAACACCATTGTGCCGGGCTTGGAAGGGCCCGCGCCTGCTTCTGGCCGCCCGAGAAGGGGGCCAAACGCACGGCCGCATGGGTTTGTCCGAACACAGCATGGGTTTCTCCAAGGAGTTCATCTTTTTTTGCAGCTTTGGCGTAAGGATTGGCGTGCCATGGCGTACCCCCCTCGATTTTGAGGATTTCAATGGATGTCATTGATGTCATTTCTAAGGAACTGACCTTCTTCTTCTTCTGCGACCCCCAAAAGACCCCTTTTCTGTAGAAAGGAACCGAAACCGTGAAGCGATCATCGAATCGTTGATCGCAAGGCCTGGAGGCGCTTTCTGGGCCTTTGCGTCGCAGCTCCGTTGCGCTTGACCCAGGACGCGCCGGTTTGACGGTCGCCGCGACCGCCGCGACTCGTCGCGAGCGTGGACGGTGATCCGTTTGGGTCTCGCTTTGGGTCTCATCCGCATGGCTGAGATGCCATCGATGGGCGCTGTGTTTTTGTGCAGGAAAAGCTTGATCTTGGCTGTGTTGGCTCCACAGATGAAAGTGGTTCCTTCCGGGTGAGCAATCCGCAGTAAGTGAACATAAGCACCCAAACTTGTGAGGATCGGCGTATTCGAAGACGCTTTTCTGTATGGCCATCGTTTCACAGCTTCTCTTGGAAAGCTCCAGGAACAAGAACATTTGATTAGGTGTTTTTAGTGATTGATGCTGACCCATCACATGTTGGCCAACAAACAGACATTAACCTTTTTTGGACCTCTGAAAACCATGGCATTCACCCCAACACACTGTGAACTCCTCGGACATCTGGAAAATCCCAACCGTGAAGTCAAGCTTTCTGGGCGGAGGATTCACCGGATCCAGATGAGACAATGAAGGCCCGCAGTTTGCACGGTTTTGCGACAGCAGGTGGAACGGAGACTCAGACATGAAGCGAAACACTATATAGAGACCTATCTATATAGGGACCAGCTGTTGTTTCCAAAAGATCTCCCGAAGGTCGTGGGTCTCGGACCTTTGAACATCATCTTGGAGCCACTACTGTAGGTGGCCATCGCTATTAGGTTGGAGGCCATTACTACTGCCAGAAGCTACAGTAACTGGCCATTACTAACTACAGTATGGCCTGTAGCTTCAGCCATTACTACTTATTGCTTTGGAGGCCAACACTGGTAGCTCGCCCCAACCGGTCCCCGCCTCAGGTCGTGGAGCGCTTGGCCTGCACCGCGGCCGTCCTCGCGACAGCTCCGGCCGCCCGCACGGCGCGGTGGGTAACCCGTGTCGGTCCGTGTTGGCGGCTTATGGGCGACCCGAGATGTTGGGGACTGGAAGAGATTCGGATGAAAGATGATGAAAGAAAATGGACACAAAAGATAAAACTTGCTGTGATTCGGTGTTCCAGTCCTGTTTCCTGGACGCTCGAAAAGTGGAGGCAGTGCGGATTGCAACTGCGTCAGCCAGCCTGACGTCAGTGTCGCAATCTCATCTTGCATGCCTTGTGCGCATGGGAGCACTTCTGCAAGCGCCGCAAGAGGGTTACAAGGTTTGTCAACAACCTGAGTGCCTTTTTTATTCTTTTGCTTATTGGTGATTTGAAGTGGCCTTGATAACAATGAGACCATGGTTAGGTGAAGTATGGTGTGACGAGTGGCTATTGGGGATACAAGAATCAGGGTGGCAGGGAAGAGTAACTAGGGCGACTGTTCAAAGCGAACATTGAAAAACCGCGTTGTTGTGACCTCCCATCTCCCACTGTTACTGCTGCATATATACCTAGAACCTGAGTGACCTCTGGATCACCAACCACCCAAAATATGGTCTTAGGAGAATAACACAGGTCAAATGGGTTCTAGGTATTGTGTATAGACATGTTGGACTGACACTGCTGACAGATGCTGACAGCTTTTGGCTCCAGGTACCTGCTTTGCTGCCCTTGCTCCGCATTGGCTTCCTGAAAGGTGAGGAGTGCATGAGTGACCACATGAGACACTCAATTGTTTTTGCCAAACATTCAACAGCACAGAAAAAGACCACGGCCCCCATGGGTTTGGGTTTGGAGGGAACCACCAATGACACATGAATGGCTAGGGTGTCTCCAAAATCCAAAATCTACAGAGTCCTGTATACATATTCATATCCACATCATATCCACATCCAGTTCTCCAACTTTTCGAGATGAAACAAGAAGCCGCTGGTTCTTTCGTCCCAATCGCATGTCGGGCATCGGTGCAGGTTCCTGTGACAGCACGCGCGGCGACCTCCTAGCGCTGCTGGGCGGGCTGCGGGTGCTGCGACTCACCAGGCCCGCCGATGTCGGTGTGTCAATAAGCATCGCATCCAGAAAAGAGCTCAGTAACCTTCCGAAAAAGATACTGCTTTAGAGAAAGCTATAGAAAGGTTGTCTTCCTTAAGCACGGGTCTCACACGGTGTCCAGATACATGGAGTATTGGGATCGCGAGTTTTTTTCCTGCGTTCCGAGTGGCAAGGAACAGACAGGTCAACCAGTTGCAGATGTTGCGAGCCAATTTCCGATCCACTCCTACCGATGCAAACTGGTGCATCCTGGGGGTTGAAACCGCTTTCCAAGGCGTTGATCACGGGCCGATGTCACCGGTCACCGGTCCCGAGCATCGGAGAGCGCCGCTGGCGCTCGCTCGGTAGGTCGAAGACGCCGCAGCGTGCGTCTCAGCACGGGGATGGGTCAGTGGCCTCTTCAGTGTGTATCATCTATAGATATATAGCTATACTCTCGGTTGAAGCATCCCAAACGGAATCGGAGGAGCAGATCCCGACCCATCACGGATCAGGAACCATGAATTCCCAAGTCCAAGCCCTTCACAGCAGGGTTGTTCATGTGAGAGACAGCCGTTCATTAGTCTTACATACTGTAGTACTGAAAAGTACTATATGTATCTATATGTAATACTCTTGGAGTCTATAACAAGTAGATGGTGTTGTGTGTTTAGAGTTGTTAGATATGGGATACGGATCGGGACCTCACCAGAATCTTTCTGGCCCATGTATCGAGCCAGCTTCTAGATTTGCATTTGGACATGTTGTTCAGAAGTATGTCACAGCTTTGCATCGTGTTCTCTCGCGAGGTTCTCGGAGATGCGCCAGATTCTGACCGCAGCCCTGCTGCGGGATTTCGATGTCAGCTCCTCAAGACCTTCGAATGCTCGGTTGCGTCGTATGCTCCAGTCGATGGTCGACCAGTCGGGCACGTCGGTCGCTTGGAGGCCACAGGCGGTCTCCAAAGGGTCTCTCCCCCAAAGGGTGGGGACCCCCAGAATCTAAGGCATTCTTGGCCCGCAATCTGAAGGCCGATTTAAGGGCCAGACCCCCAGAATCTAAGGCGTTCTCAAGCAATCTGAAGGCCTTTTCTAAGACTTGGGCCGCATGGCCAAGAGCCCAAGCCATCTGAGCCACGTGAGTCGCAGCGACCGATCTCCAAGGCCACGCCGCTGGTGCCGGAGCTGCGACGCCTGGTGGAGGACGGTCGAAGCAGCGAAACAGCGGAGCGCTGGGGCAGAAGAGGAAGAGACAGGAAGCAATTGGAGCCAAGCGGGGATTCATCATTCATTGAGCTGCGCCAAGCAGATAGAGGATAGAAGCTGATAGAGGCTGACAACAGCTGATAGGCCCAGAACAGATCACCGGCTGCGAACGACCTTCTTTTGGTTTACTCCTTGGGCACTCGTGCTGCGCGGACATTCGGTCTCACATAGTCAGATTCCTGTTGTTTTGGATTCCATGTACAGTGGATACTTACCAAGGCTCCCTGGTACCCCGCGATTTTTAGCGATGCTGAAGGGCCTAGGGACGCGTTCAGACATGCTCAAGATCGCTCAAGTGTCTTCGGTAGATCAACCAAGATCTCCTGGTTCGCCCCACAGCCAATTTTGTCACATTTGGAGCCCAACTCGAGGACCACAAAGGCTCCTTGCGACGTCTGGCACTCAGGCAAGGCATATATATATATATACATATACATCCCTTTCTCTCTCTCTCTCTCTCCCTCCCTCCCCCCCCCCCCCCCCTCCCTCCCTCCATCTCTATTAAAGAAACACACATATATTGATAGAGCAGTTGGCCCAGAAACAATGGGAGAAACCTGGTGGGCCCGTGTTGACCTCCACAGTTTGGGGGAAGATTGGTTCCCTGAGTAAACACAGATCTGTGTTTTTGACCTCTACAATGCAGTGATCCCTCTTGGTGGAATATTTAACATGATAGTTTTTGAACATATTCAATTTGATATCGTTGCTGTTTTCGTTTCTCTTCGTTCCGTGGACGGGTTCTGGCCTTGGCTGCTCTTGGCTTTTGGCTCCGTTTTCCAGAAAGCCTGACTCCATCAAGGTCACTTGCGAGCTTCTCTCCATTTTGACCTTGGAACCCCAATCAAGACCCCCATTCAAGATCAATCAAGTACGTGTGCGATCCCCGCCAGGGCACGTGTGCAGTGCTTTCACAGCCAGGGCACTTGTGAGAGATACATCCGGTCTGTAGCGCAGGTCGCAGGTCTGGTCTGCAACTACTATAGCATTTGTTCGTGGCCGAACGGTTGTGCTAAACATGAAGGCCCAAAGCGCCCAAGGTGAAGGGAATGAGGCAATCTATAGAGCTTTTCGCCACGCCCCGACGACCTCTGATTTGGCCCCTTAAGCAATTGCATGAAGAGCAATTGCAAGGACATTTAACCGACAAATTGAAAAAAACAACAGATTTCACTTCTTGTAAGCAGAGGAAGAAGACCCAGAAACACAATACACAATAAGACAACAACAATACTACTAAATTAAAGTCCGCTGTTTTTCCCCCCAAATGTGATTGAGTGAGGCAGACTTGGGTTCGTTTTGATGCTAAAGCTGAGGTGGCAAAGCTTTGTTGAAGAAGTTGAAGGCGGCTGAAGCAAAGACTTCATCAGCAGCAGCTCCTTGACATTAGAGAACGCCTAGATTCTCTGTGGATCGGTCGTGGGTTGGTCCCTGAGAGTATATGGCCAGATCTTGACTCAGGCAGATCTTAGGTTTCCAAGATAATACAGGGCCAGGAGCCCCAATCGTAGCGTTCTTGCTCCTAGTAGCGATGCCCTTGTTACTAGTAGCTTCTTGTTACTAGTAGTATGGCCTGGAGCCCCAATCGTAGCGTCCTTGCTCCCACAGGGAGACCCATCCGAACCAGCACAAAAACCTTTTGATTTGCTCTCGCTTTTGTGGAGCCTGGAACTTGGAACGGCCGCTGTCCCCGGCTGTCCCCCTTGTTTTCAATGGCTTCAAGAACCGACCTGTCTTCAAAAGTGTCTTGGAATGTTCGCTTTGGTCTCTGCAATATGACACGGCAGCGAGTCCTTTTGCTGCCCAGGTCACAGTGGAACTTGTAGAGGCGCAGCTGCCCAGGTCTTGTCGCGGAACTTGTTAGTCCTGACTTCTACAAGCTCTCTGTTTGGGGTGGATTTGGACTAGTTTGGGGACTCTTCCATTGAGCTGCCTCCCTTCCAACAAAAACCTTTGAACTTCAATGTGAAGCAACCTGGGACGACCAAACCGGCTTCGTGCCTAGTAGCGGCTTCGTCGCAAACCGTCACCCAGTCGCCGCGACGAGCGAGGCCCTTGCAGAAGTGCTGCAGCCGTCGGAGTTGGCCAGGCCGGTGCCGAGGAGTGCCGATGCGATTTCGTCGTCTGTGAGGAGAGTGGATTTTTCCTGTTGAGGGATGATCCGAAACGATGGTTGGTGGATGGGGCATGGACATGGGGACATGAGCCATAAAACTGATTAAAACTGCATAAATATGTATGCATAAAATCAAGCTACTAGGAACAAGTGCATCGCTTCTAGCCTTACTAGTAGTAACAATGTTTGCTAGTAGGAAACCATATTAGACTTTAATCAGTTGTTTGAAATCGCTGCAGCTCAACGATCCATGTCTCCTAGGTCGGGCCCGGAACCGCCGACGGAGTCGGAGTCGGGCCCAGGTATCGAGGTATCGGGCTCCGGTATAGGCCTCCGACCTAGTATGATTCTAACCAACGATGGCGGTATCCCACCGATGCGGTAGGGAGAAGTTCCGGGCCGGTTGGGTGTTCTTCTCCGATCTTCTGCTTGAAGAGCGGTGATGAGGGGTCTTCGTAGGCCCTTGCGGAAGCGTCCTGGGAAGCACCGACCTCGTGGTGTTCGGACCGACTGGGTCTCGTCGGTGGGTGGGCGCTTCGACCCCCAGGCTGGTGAGCTTCAGCGGGCTTCCCTGTGGGGAAGACGAGGAGGTCGTCCGGAGGTCCAGGTCGACAGTGTCGACAGCGTCGGGAGGTCCGGTCCGGTCGGTTGGGGAGATGAACACACGGTGGGTGGTGTTTCGGTCGGTGGGCTCGTTGAGTCATGGAAGATGATGTGGATCACAGGTCAGGGTTCTCCCAAAGCATTTGTAGGAATTTTAGGTGTGGTTGAGATAAACTACAGCATTTCCATGCAATCTATACCCAAAGGCCTTGAGACGCACTGTATCCAGACAGCCTCGCATGATGCAGTGAGGATGCGAAGGCTGCAGCTGCTCGGGCACGTGGCGACTTGTTCTTCGAAGACACGGTGCTAGGCTTAAGCTGGGGCAGGGCCCTTGCAGTTGTTTGAGAGTGACCGGGCAGAAAGGCGGCTCTCAGCAAATTCAATGATATGATCTTATGTATCGGCAACATACATATACATGATATACATGATATACTGTATATATATATATAATATATATTTCAACCTGATATTGAAGCGATGACATATAAGCGGCTCTCAGAGGCCCTTCAAGGCAGTGGTGATCTAGGGCCCCTGACCTGCCTCCTTGGTCGCCCAGACCTGCCCGACCAAGGCTGGGGATGTGCCGTTGGAGAGCCTATTGGTCATTGCCTGAGAGAGATGGACGTGCCCCCCGAAGCGAGGAGGACGTCTGAACATGGAAAGGAGGACGTCCTTCTAGGTGAACCTCCCATCGTTGGTTTTTTTTGGAGCCACATGCATGTCGGGTAGGACAGGTGTGAGCTTCTGGATTTGAGGCTGGTGGCAGTGAAAGCGCTCACCAGGCCAACCAGCAAAGTTTTGGAGAGAAGTAGAATTGCCGAGACCTCACGAGATCTTGTGGGGGACACGTCCAAAACCCATTGGTTGTAGGAACTCCTGCAACTTTACGTTGAGACCGTCCAGACATCTCCGGCCCTTTTGGGCATCATCCGTACGCTGGCCCCGCAGTTCTTTTTTCTGCAGGCGCAAGCCCAGGTGCGGAAGCGCACACTGGGGGAGTTGGAAGGCGTCGAAGCTCTTCGTCCCTTGGCGTCGAAGCGAGCTTCGACGGGTCGCCGTTTGGTGGACACCGGGTCCGGTCCACCAGGTGGAATGGTTTGAGGGGCCGAGTGCACTTGAGCAATTTGTACTTGAGGATTCAGCGGTGGAGCACTTGAGTCAAGAGTGAATCATTTCTAGTTGTTTTTTGGTTTTAAAGGAGGTTTTGAACACCCCTCACTTTGAATCACTTATGACATCTTATGAATCTGTTCGGGGGCTGGGCACGCGCCAATGGCAACTGCTCAAGGAAGAGGCGTGCATGTGCTTGGCTTGGACTTGTTCCGTTTGAACCACGCTTGTTTGTGAGATAACCTTCAAGAGGATTTCCCCCAAACCTCACATAGGCTTACAATTTAATGGATAAAGGGGTCCAGTCTATCTTCCTTCTTTCAGGTGTGGTCTCCCTATTTTATTTCGCGATAGAATCAGGCGCTTGAAACTTTTACTGCTATTTTCCGAGAGACTTCCGTGGCAGCTTCAAATCAAAGCTTTTGCCGGTCAAATATGAGGTGTCGATGAGACTGACAACGCCCAGGCTGTGGGGTGTGCTAAAGCGCGTCATAGATAGGACCATAAAGGTGCTGAGATGGGCATGATGTCAGCAAGGAAGCCACCTTGATTGATTGTTGCCCCCCAGACTCTCTTGGATTTTCCAAAACACCACAAACTCTGTAGAGGAGTCCGTTTTTGGCAATCGAAACGAGGCCGGCAGGTAGTTGTACAATCTTGTTGGTTTCAGTCTGGTAGTAGATGTCGTGCGATTTGCTTTTCTCCAGATTCTCCTGCAATCCAAGTGGGAGGCAACTTTCCAATTCCTCGCGAGCACCAAAATAGCCTGCGATGATACTCTATGTTCATTTTCCCCAATCCTGAAACATGTAACATGCCGATTTTTGTGTTTGAACCGGAACCCGCCTTTCGAATGATGTGTTTGGTTTGGACATGATTGGACGGACCGAAAAAACAAACAGCTTCTGGGAGCCGTGCGAGGCCAGCGATGGAGGCCTGGTGCAAGATGTGCAAGATTCTTAACAGCTTCTTTTGTAACCAATGGAATGAAGCAACGACTGGTGTGAGCCCTCCAGCAGGTGAGCCTGAAACTCCAGCAAGCACAGGATCTACAGGCGCACTGGATTCAAGGTTTGGTGGTTTGGGTGGATGCCATAGCTTTAAGCAACAGCATTTGGTTTGGCATTTCGAGACGAGCCCGCGAAGAACACAGGGTGTGTATTCAAACCAAGGCTTTTGGATGGGTTTTGCTGTGTTTTCCTTCTTGCAGAGCGTCTTTATAGGAGGTTTGCCTATTTTGAAGCCTCGATCAGCACGAAGCAACTCGATCAGCGTTTTGAGGCCCAAAGAAGCGCCGGAAGTCGACTGCATGAGATGTGCGAAAAAAGGATGGCCGGAGTCGTCCGTGACATGCTCTAACTCTTCCGGAGTCGATGCTTGTTGGGATTGGCCAGTCTTTGGAATGAGACAGGACATGATAGGAATCTCAAGATTCACCTACGATCACTAGGATCTTCGGAGTGGGGATGTGCTTGAGTGCGAGCTTGGCGCCTGCCCATGCTGATGCATTTTCAGGGCATCGACGCTGTGGCACTGCAACAATGAGAGCGCAGATCTTCGTCTAATGACTGCGGCGGTGTGCGAGAAGATCTTTTTTGGAAGACAGAGTTTCTACTGAGGGATTCACACTGGAAGATAGAATTCCACCTCCAGGAGTTGTACGATATGAATCGCAATGGTCCATGAATTAGAGGCCAACAGAGGAGCATTAAGACGTGCCCAACCAAACATGCCTTTCTTTTTGATTGAACACACAAGGGAAATGATGGGAACAAACACGTATATATCATCTTGTAGAATGTAGAGCGTCAATTTCCTTTAGCTTTTACGCTTGATCATAGTCGAAGCCAGCTTCTGAGCATAGACGCTTGAAACAATGGTAACAGTGAGGCCCACCGGCGGATTCCCCCCCAAAATGCCATAACACCGCCTGTATTTTTGGAAAGGACTGGGTAGAACAAAAGCCAAGCTATTATGGTGAAAGATAGGCTTGGCTTCTGTACTTTGTCCCCTGTTTTATACCTATACTGAACTATCGGAGTTTTGTGATATATGTGGGCGTTGATTTGCGGGAGTCTTTATTTGAGTTGGCCAATGCACAACAAAGATCTGGGGACAGAAACGTCAAATGGGATTTGATGGAGCAGCAAAACGGCACCAAAGCTGCAGAACTCTGCGAAGATGTTTGCAGGTTTCGCCCCTTCGCGTTGTTGAGACCCGCTCACAAGGCACATTTGTTGCTTGTCCCGATCCTTCAACCTTTTTTGTTGTGGATGTACTTGGAGTCTTCGGTGGCGCTGGGAACGTGTGTGCATGAAGAGATTCTAGGGTTTGGAATTGGATGCGCCGACAGGCAAAAAGCCTGAAGGCCCAGTGCAAAGCACACTGTCCTGAAAGGCAGCCAAAAGACAACACTTTGCTCAATTCATGACACAAAAACCTATGGAACCCGCAGTGAATTGTGCTTTAGGCCGCAAAATCAAACCAGACACATCAGAAACAAGTCCATGGGAAGGGCAGGCCTAAAGGGTGGGCACTCTGAGTTCCAGTCAGAGGAAGGGCAGGCCTGAAGCGGGTTGCATCATACATTTTTGGTGTGTTTTCCTGATCTATCCCTCGTCCCCGCAGCTTCATCAATGATCTCGTTGGACGTTCCTCATCACCCATGCCCGCACAGTACTTGCCACACCGAAATCGCCTGTACGAAGTATCCACCCAGTCACTGAACCCAGTCGCTTCAGATTGATCATCTCCCATCGGTTACAAACAACGGTGGTTTGGGTTGGAGGATGCAGCAGGCAAACGGACATATTTCACGAGTCGTGGTACATACAATGAAGAACTGCTTTCCTTGGCCTGCCGAAGAGGTGGGACACCAAATTTTTTCTGACCAGTCTGTCTCCTGCACTTGGCTTCAGACTATCAGCGGAGTTGGAGTCGAACAGTGAGCCATCATCCCGAGAGTAGGCTTTCATCATCCCGGGGAAGTCTCGGCGTTTGGGGCAAGTTCTCCTTCTTCGGCGCGAAGAATAGACACACACACACACATTCGGAAGGGAACGGCATCCCCTGCTTCTCAAACACATTCCTTGAAGGGACTCTAGGTTTGGTAGTTCAGGCGTTTTCATGCAAAACAGATTTTCCCAGCTACCTGAAGAGCCTGTGCTCTTTAGGGAAGCGCAACAGAGGCGGTGGTACAACTGCTGTGTATAGTTCTATTGTTTCGCAAAAGTCAAACCCTGCATTCTCATAGGTGGCCCCCTTCATGGTGGATGACCCCCCCACATGACAGGGCATACCAGTGGAAGCTTGATTTCTTTTGACCATGATCTGAATCTGATCACTCAGCCATCACCTAGCCTTCTTCTCATTGGGATCATTGGTCTACTATTTCATGTCAGCCATTTTTTCATAAACCAAACATCGGCCTGTCTCGAACCGCTGCGGACACGACGCGGTCTCGAAGCGGATTGAAAGCGATGGAGCTGGCAGAGCTGCCCCACTTCTTGCCACAGGCGGAGCTGAGCGGGTAACGAAGAAATCTTGCTGCAGGCTGATTGTGGAAGAGAGAAATACCCGGTTGAGATGAGGGACCAGTTTACTTCTCCTGAATGTTTGGGATATCGATACCCGATACATCCCGATACCATCTTTAGATGAACACAGCCCCCCCTCAATGGTGGGGAAACGTTGGCGTTTCTCAAAAGATTGAGGGCCGTAGATGGTTCACAGACCCAGACATAGTTGCGGATCCCAGTCAGACCGTGTTCACCAAGACATTGCCACTTGGGAGCTTGATACCTCACCTCCAGGGTTTTAGGTGTTCACCAATCGAAGACCCTGATGGTTTTGGGTTTGTCCTCAACAGCATCATCACCTGTTTTGGTTGCTGAGTCGCTGGGCACTCAATTGCTTACCCTTATCATTCACGTCCGTGGTCAGCGGTGCATTGGGACTTACTGAACTTATGGATTGTTGACATTCTCAACTTGGCAAGCAGGTCATGGGCCACCCAATACACTCCGAGTACCTGCTGAGGTATTTGGGCCCTCCAAACCCACCCCCAAAACACCTTCGAAACGAAGATACTTGAAGCCCCACATCGGGCCCTCACAAGCTGAATCGATTCGTACCTCCCCGCCAGTACATGTTCTTCGGCTCTTCAAGAACGCCTCGTTAGCTGTCACAGGTCCTTCCAATGCTGGAATGGCTGGACATTCGCTCGGGGCCCAACGCAAGTGGATACGACCCCCATTTGGATAGTAAAAGGCAACATATTCACCTGGGCAAAAGTTGTGAACAGCCCAGACACCCCGAAACTGCATAAACATGTGGCTTGTCCACTGCAGGTTGTCATCAAGTACTTCTTGAAAAATATCCACTAGGATGAGGGCATCTGACGTTACAAAGCTCTGTGTGGACATCTCTCCAGATGTGTTCCATGCTTTAAACGGCGCTTTACCTGCGCATCTTTTGAGGCCGAATTTGCCTGGCTCAGAAAGAGTGCAGCAGATCGTTGGTGCAGGTGGACTCGGCCATTGCCAATGATGCTGTGAATCCGTATTTTTTTTTTGGTCAGCTCGACGGATGAGACACAAGGCGATTCATGGTTTCTTGATCAGGATGAGAGAGATTAGGATGAACCCGCGACCTGAAGATCCTCCAACTTTCTGAAGCTACTGTACCACTGGCAGGCGGTGCACCATCGCTATCTTGGGGATGCCCCAACAGCAGTGAGAGCCCGCAACGGGCACCCAGCATGAACGCTTGTTCACCTTCACATGCTGCGGCTATTTGTCTTTCTGCAGATGGCTTTCACGGTGGTCCCTTGACGGAAAAAGTTCATGATGTTCATGAACCAAAGGTGCATCGAATGGAAGATCATTGTCTGGAGATCAGGGAGGTCTTTTTTTGTTCTTCTTTCCGGGCCTTCCTCTGATTAGACTGCCTTCGTTGTTCGGTTCCCTGCGAAATTGCAGGAGGTGCCTATATATATTATATATACATATATATATATATATACATGTCAGGTGTCACTGGTCACAGGTGGTTGCTGTTTGAGCTTTGTGTTAACATGGCAGCTGGCCTTTCTGAGGTGAAGTGCTGGCTGCTGCGTCGAGTGAAGTGCTGGCTGAAACCGCCGCGCCGAGGCATCCAAAAGCTCGGACAGCGGCTCAACGGGGCGCAGGCCAAGGGAATGCGGCGACCCGAGATGTGGGGAGGGCTTCCATGGAATGACATGGAATGACCAAATGTGATGTTCATCTTTTCCTCTTGAAATGGTAGAGACCATCCTAATTCTTGGGCGATGGCACAGGCAAGCTCGCGTGCATGATGTTTGCAGGGTTCGATGACTTGAATTAGTTGCTACAATTCCAGGAAGTTGATGATGTTAATCGGTTCATCATCAAGACCAATGTTTGAACAGGCCAATGCTCGACCTGGTGAACTTGCAAAAGTGAATCGCGTCATTGAGATGTTCAGCTCTTGGCACAATAGCGATGGCCTCCAATCTACTAGCTTCTTGCTACTAGTAGTAATGGCCTCCAGCCTAATAGCGATGGCCTCCAACCTACTAGCGATGGCCTAGCGATGGCCTCCAGCCTAATTACTAGCGATGGCCTCCAACCTAATAGCGATGTTCTTTCTCTTTGCATAATTACCTCGGCCTGATGTTACAGCCCGCTTTGTAACATTCTCAGAACAGGCACCAAACTGCTTTTGACTGTTCATCCTTGATCCAGGTGAGGAACCCTAAAAGACCCAGTGGTTGAGGATGAGAGATGAACCTCCATCCGGCACCAAACATGTGAAGATGAACGTGACAGAGTCCATTTTAGGAAGCTGTGATCAGGGGTGTGTTGCCGTTCTGACGGACCCGGGACGAGACATCCAACCACTCCAGCAGCAGCCCTGTCAGTCAGGCAGCTCAAGCAAGAGGCTCTCCAGAAGCGCTGAGCTCCGCGGCCGTGGAAATCATGGCGCCGGACCCGGCGGTCGAGTCGAGTCGATGCGTCGAGTCGAGGCGTCGGTCGATGCGGAGGACCGTGAGCGCTCGTCCGGGGGCGAAGCGTCGGTTTCGGACCTCGTGCGGTTTCGGCCGGGGGTCGTGATGGCCGGCCGAGTGACGTGACCGGGTTTCCGTGGGATGGCCGGGGATGGCTGGGGGATGTTTGAGGATGCTCTTCACCTTTGGGGTGAATTCATTTCAGGGCATCCAATGTCTGTTGGTTCAGCTGGGCGTTGGACTCTGCCTCTTGATGACGTGATTGTTCGCATGGAACAGTTTGAGTCAATTTCTATAGTTTTCACAGTGCCAGGTGCTTCAACAATGTTCGAGTGTCCTGGGCGAGAACTGTGAAAAGTATGCCGACCTGCTCGAAAGGCAGGGCCTCACTCTGACCCGTTCGTCAGTTGAAGATCATTTGGAACTTGGGGACTCGATCTATTGTTGATGCAGGAACATAATGTGATTGTAATTCAGTAACAATAAAATCATGCTCACATCGGAATAATAAACCTCCCCTCTAGTGCTTTTTGCATACCCCCGACTTGATTCTATATTGTTGCACAAGTGCCTTAGCCTTTTCCTTTATACCCCCACTGTTGAAACACCATGTTGTCCGGCCCTGATCCTCATGCCTGTCAAGCGCACATGAACCCCGAACCATGAATCCTGTTCCTCTACTCACTTCAGCTGACCTAAAACACCGTTGTCGAAGATATCCCCTTTCACAGCAACTCTTCACGTCGAACATCGCCCTTTCGACGCGTTCGTTCCAGAGTCTCGGCTGATTCGGTACTCCGAAGGTTCGACTCCTGACGCGTTCGGTCCTGGCTCGTTGGTCGCGGTCGAAGAGGGTGGGCTTCACCTTGGGCGATGACTTGGAGAAGGTCTCCGATGCGCTCTTGGAGTCCTTGGACCGCCTCCAGGCCGCCGCCTCCGTGTTGGGACCTTGGGTGGGATCGGGTCGGTGAACCGCGTGGTTCAAGTGGGGGTCTAAGAATCCACCGGCCAAAGAGGCGGGACTTTGGTGCAGGACACACGAAGAGACGAACTGTTTCTGTCTTCGGCTCCTACCAACTCACCAAAAGCTTCCCAACCCAAAATCGCCATTTCGGGCCATTTCTGGCGAAGACGCTTCCCGCGGACACTGTCTCCGCCTTTGCCCTAGGCGTTCTCCGACGCCGTGGCGCGGCTCCGCGCGGCGGCCGAGGCGGCGCCGGCGCCGGGCATCTCCTGTCGAGCGAGCGGAGGCGGCCGACGGCGGGAGCCGGCGGTGCCAAGGGTCGGAGGGTGTTTTTTTCGATTATATTACTCTATATTCTTAAATTACTATGATTTATAGACTATGATTGTAATATACATATGCATATATCAACACACACACATATATATATATATATTTACCAGGCTACCGCCTGCAGCCGCCGACCCCCAAGGGATAGAACCTTAGCGCTAGCCTTGCTCTAGCCAGAGAGGTGGGGTGAGGCGTGACTGTCGAGGTTAGCCTTAGCCTTAAGCCTGAGCCTTAGCCTTAGCCTAGCCTTAGACTTACTTAGCCTTAGACTTAGACTTAGACCCTACCTCCCCTACCCCTCCGGACCCGGGTGTTGTTGTAAAAGGGAGTTGTAGGAGTTCCCCTATTTTCTTCCATTGTTGTAGAATTATCTAGCACTTCCTCTTGCATTTAGGTTCCCAGATTTGCCCAAAAATTGACTAACCTATTGTTAACCTATTTGATTCGAGTGTTCCCGGCCAATGCCCTGGAATTTTCCTAGGAATGCTCTAGGCTTTGTTTAGATTTTGTGCTGGACGAGGTCCGGCCAGTGCCCGTGGTAACGTGAAAGGCTCTGGTAAGTTTTTCGCATGCCTGTCAGGCGCCGATCTAAACAAAGCCAAGAGCATTCCTAGGAAAAATCAAGGGCATTGGCCGGGAACACTGGCATAAAATAGGTTAGCCAAAGGTTAACAATTTTTGGGGGAAATCTGGGAACCTAAAGACAAGAGGAAGGGCATTGACCGGGAACACTGGCAGAAAATAGGTTAGCCAAAGGTTAACAATTTTGGGGGGAAATCTGGGAACCTAAAGACGAGAGGAAGCGCTAGAAAATTCTGGCAAAAGCATCCAACCGAAAACGTAACAACATCTAGACAAAGCCTAGAGCATTCCTAGGAAAATATTGGAAAAGCCTTTGAAAGTTCCATAGGTTAGCAAAAGGTTACCAATTTTTGGGGGAAATCTGGGAACCTAAAAACAAGAGGAAGCGCTAGAAAATTCTGGCAAAAGCATGCAACCGAAAACGTAACAACATCCAGACAAAGCCTAGAGCATTCCTAGGAAAATATTGGAAAAGCCTTTGAAAGTTCCATAGGTTAGCAAAAGGTTACCAATTTTTGGGGGAAATCTGGGAACCTAAAAACAAGAGGAAGCGCTAGAAAATTCTTGGAAAAGCATCCAGCCGAAAACGTAACAAAATCTAGACAAAGCCTAGAGCATTCCTAGGAAAATGCTGGAGAAGCCTTTGAAAATCCCATAAATCCAACAGAAAACGTGACAAAATCTACGAAAAAGCAAGGGCATTGGCCGGGACCGCGCCGCGACCAGCCCGGGATTCGAGCCCGGGACCATTTTGGACCGTGCTTATTTTCCCGCGCGGGTGGAGAGGGTGCCCCAAGATGTAAATCAAATGGGATGGCAGAATCTTGGACAATCCAGGTCGCCATCACGTCGCAATCAGGTCGCAATCACATCGCAATCAGGTCGCAATCACGTCGCTTTTGAGTCGGGATTTCGTCACTGCAACAAGGGTCCGGAGGGGTAGGGGAGGTAAGGTCTAGGTCTAAGGCTAAGGACTAGGTCTAAGGCTAAGGATAAGGCTAAGGCTTAAGTCTAAGGCTAAGGCTAAGGCTTAAGGCTAAGGCTAAGGCTTAAGGCTAAGGCTAAGGCTTAAGGCTAAGGCTAACATCGACAGTCACGCCTCACCCCACGGTGTGGGGTCGGCGGATATATATCTATATACACACAATATGTATAATTATTGAATTGTATGATGTATATACTCAATCTATGATATTGTATTTGTGCTTCTGTCAGTTGATTCTTTCAAAGACTTCCATGGGGGCACACACACACACACACTTGAGATATTGTGTACGGAACTGAATGCGGTGCCACACGCCGGCCTAGGGTTCCATTTC